AGTTTCTCAGCAGGATATATATGGGGAAAAAATATCTAAGGAACAGAAAATACCAGAGTGCGCAAGAAATAATTCCTGTGCCTACATTTTAGAAAAAAATTGGGAAGACCAGAACATTGAAGATCAGCACAAAAATCAGGGGAGACATCTGAGGTGAGTTGCACTCAAAAGTGAAAGCAGCAACCCAGGAGAAAATCTTAGTTTAAAAAAAAAAGCAAAGAAACGAAAGTACAAACAGCTTCAAATTTGTTTATTTACAAGAATTTTATTTATTTATTTATTTATTTTTTAAAAGATGACCAGTAAGGGGATCTCAACCCTTGACTTGGTGTTGTCAGCACCACGCTCAGCCAGTGAGCAAACCGGCCATCCCTATATGGGATCTGAACCCGGGGCCTTGGTGTTATCAGCACCGCCCTCTCCCAAGTGAGCCACAGGCCGGCCCAGTTTTACAAGAAATTTAACCAAAAAAAAATCTTTTAATCTAATTTAGATATTGAGTGTTTGAAACATACTTCAATTAGAAACAATTATATGGAAGCCCTATATATAGTACACACTGTATTAATAATAAATATTTCCTGAGCCCTCTTCCACATTATTTAGTTTATTGTACTTTCAAGCAATTCAATGTAGAAAAACTTCATGTATACTGAAATGTAGTTGGAAATGTAGTTCTAATACTCACTAATACAGGTTGAGTATCCCTTATATAATCAAAATGCTTGGGACCAGAAGTGTTTCAGATTTTGAGTTGTTTCATATTTGAGGATATTTGCAATATACTTATTGGTTGAACATTCCTAATCTGAAATTCAAAATGATCTAATGAGCATTTCCTTTCAGCCTCAAGACAGTGCTTAAAAAGTTTCAAATTTTGGAACATTGTGGATTTCATATTTTCAGATTAGGAATATTCAACAAATCATTAATAAACACACCATAAATAAAATGTTTCTCATTTTTAACAGAAATCATATGGTGGACAGATTGCCCGAAAGTAATGAAGGCCGTCAGTGTAAAGAACCCTTCAGTCGCATTTCAGATCTTAATCTGTATAAGAAAATTTCTACTGGAGGAAAACCATATGAGTGCACCAAGTGTGGGACGGTCTTCATGCATCTTTCCTCTCTTAAGAGGCACGTCAGATCTCACTGTGGGCAAAAACCGTATCACTGTCAGGAATGTGGGCAGGCCTGCATCTGTCCCTCACACCTAAGAAGTTATGTAAGAACTCACACTGGAGAAAAACCCTATGGATGTAAATTATGTGGGAAAACCTTTCCTTATTTCTACTCCCTCACGCAACATATCAGGACTCATACTGCAGAGAAAAACTACGAATGCAAGCAATGTGGAAAAGTCTTCATTGAGGTCTCCAGTCTGACTAGACATGTTAGAACTCACACTGGAGAGAAGCCATTTAAATGTAAGGAATGTGGGAAAGCTTTTATTTATCGCTCAATCTTCCAAAGACATAGGATAACACACACAGGAGAGAAGCCCTATCGATGTAAATTATGTGGGAAAACCTTTCACCATTCTTACTCCCTCACTCAACATATAAAGATTCACACTTCAGAGAAAACCTATGAGTGCAAGCAGTGTAGGGAAGCCTTCAATCAGTTCTCAAGTTTTACCAGACATGTGAGAACTCACATTGGAGAGAAGCCATATAAATGTAAGGAATGTGAGAAAGTCTTTATTTATCCCTCAGTCTTTCAAAGACACATGATAACACACACTGGGGAGAAGCCCTATGAATGTAAACTATGTGGGAAAACTTTTCGTCATCCCCATTCCCTCACTCAACATACAAAGATTCACACAGCAAAGAAAACCTATGAATGCAAGCAATGTAGGAGAGACTTCGGTGAGTTCTCAAGTTTTACTAGACATGTAAGAACTCATGCAAAAGACAAGCCATATAAGTGTGAGGAATGTGGGAAAGCCTTCCTTTATCCCTCAACCTTTCAACGACACATGATAACACACACGGGAGAAAAGCCCTATGCATGTAAGCAATGTGGGAAAACCTTTAGTTATCCCCAGTCTTTCCAAAGACATGAAAAGACTCACACTGGAGAGAAACCGTATGAATGTATACAATGTGGGAAAGCCTTCAGTTGGCCTGAAACCTTTCGAGTACATGTGAGAATGCATACTGGAGAAAAGCTCTATAACTGTGAAAACTGTGGGAAAGTTTTCAGTTGTCCCAAATCCTTTCAAGGTCATGTGCGAACTCACACTGGAGAGAAACCGTATGAATGTAAGCAATGTGGGAAAGCCTTCAATTGGCCCTCAACCTTTCGAGAACATATGAGAATTCACACTGAAGAGCAACTCTATAAATGTGAAAATTGTGGGAAGGCTTTCACTTCATCTAGATCGTTTCAAGGTCACATGAGAACTCACACAGGAGAGAAACCATATGAATGTAAGCAATGTGGGAAAACCTTCTGTTGGTCCTCATCCTTACAAAAACATGTGAGAATGCACACAGGAGAGAAACCTCATGAATGTAAACAATGTGGGAAAGCCTTCAAGTGGCCCTCATCTTTTCGAAACCACATGAGAATGCACACTGGATAGAAACCCTATGAACATGCATGATATTCAAAAGCTTTTAGTTGTCAAGTCATTCTTTCTGGAACACGTGAGAGTGCACACTAGAGAGATATAACTCTAATGTGG